TAAGATCCGCACCAGAGTGGTACGGTAATCCTGTTCTGGAGGTCATGCTACTAGATCATGATGAACCTACGAACTATGATGAAGCGATGGTGAGCCCAGATTCCGTAAAGTGGCTTGAAGCCATGAAATCTGAGATGGGATCCATGTATGAGAACAAAGTATGGACTTTGGTTGACTTGCCCGATGATCGGCAAGCAATTGAGAATAAATGGATTTTTAAGAAGAAGACTGACGCTGATGGTAATGTTACTGTCTACAAAGCTCGACTTGTCGCAAAAGGTTTTCGGCAAGTTCAAGGAATTGACTACGATGAGACCTTCTCACCCGTAGCGATGCTTAAGTCCGTCCGAATCATGTTAGCAATTGCCGCATTTTATGATTATGAAATTTGGCAAATGGATGTCAAAACTGCATTCCTGAATGGATTTCTGGAAGAAGAGTTGTATATGATGCAACCAGAAGGTTTTGTCGATCCAAAGGGAGCTAACAAAGTGTGCAAGCTCCAGCGATCCATTTATGGACTGGTGCAAGCCTCTCGGAGTTGGAATAAACGTTTTGATAGTGTGATCAAAGCATTTGGTTTTATACAGACTTTCGGAGAAGCCTGTATTTACAAGAAAGTGAGTGGGAGCTCTGTAGCATTTCTGATATTATATGTGGATGACATATTACTGATTGGAAATGATATAGAATTTCTGGATAGCATAAAGGGATATTTGAATAAAAGTTTTTTAATGAAAGACCTCGGTGAAGCTGCTTACATATTAGGCATTAAGATCTATAGAGATAGATCAAGACGCTTAATTGGACTTTCACAAAGCACATACCTTGACAAAATTTTGAAGAAGTTCAAAATGGATCAAGCGAAGAAAGGGTTCTTGCCTGTGTTACAAGGTGTGAAATTGAGTAAGACTCAATGCCCGACCACTGCAGAAGATAGAGAGAATATGAAAGATGTTCCCTATGCATCAGCCATAGGCTCTATCATGTATGCAATGCTGTGTACCAGACCTGATGTGTGCCTTGCTATAAGTTTAGCAGGGAGGTACCAAAGTAATCCAGGAATGGATCACTGGACAGCGTTCAAGAACATCCTGAAATACCTGAAAAGGACTAAGGATATGTTTCTCGTATATGGAAGTGACAAAGAGCTCATCGTAAAAGGTTACGTTGATGCAAGCTTTGACACTGATCCGGACGATTCTAAATCGCAAACCGGATACGTGTTTACATTAAACGGTGGAGCTGTCAGTTGGTGCAGTTCTAAACAAAGCGTCGTAGCGGGATCTACATGTGAAGCGGAATACATAGCTGCTTCGGAAGCAGCAAATGAAGGAGTCTGGATGAAGGAGTTCATATCCGATCTAGGTGTCATACCTAGTGCATCGGGTCCAATGAAAATCTTTTGTGACAATACTGGTGCAATTGCCTTGGCAAAGGAATCCAGATTTCACAAAAGGACCAAACACATCAAGAGACGCTTCAACTCCATCCGGGATCTAGTCCAGGCGGGAGACATAGAGATTTGCAAGATACATACGGATCTGAATGTTGCAGACCCGTTGACTAAGCCTCTTCCACGAGCAAAACATGATCAGCACCAAAGCTCCATGGGTGTTAGAATCATTACAGTGTAATCTAGATTATTGACTCTAGTGCAAGTGGGAGACTGAAGGAAATATGCCCTAGAGGCAATAACAAAGTTATTATTTATTTCCTTATAATCATGATAAATGTTTATTATTCATGCTAGAATTGTATTTACCGGAAACATAATACATGTGTGAATACATAGACAAACAGAGTGTCACTAGTATGCCTCTACTTGACTAGCTCGTTAATCAAAGATGGTTATGTTTCCTAACCATGAACAATGAGTTGTTATTTGATTAACAAGGTCACATCATTAGTAGAATGATCTGATTGACATGACCCATTCCATTAGCTTAGCACCCGATCGTTTAGTATGTTGCTATTGCTTTCTTCATGACTTATACATGTTCCTATGACTATGAGATTATGCAACTCCCGTTTACCGGAGGAACACTTTGGGTACTACCAAACGTCACAACGTAACTGGGTGATTATAAAGGAGTACTACAGGTGTCTCCAATGGTCGATGTTGGGTTGGCGTATTTCGAGATTAGGATTTGTCACTCCGATTGTCGGAGAGGTATCTCTGGGCCCTCTCGGTAATATACATCACATAAAGCCTTGCAAGCATTACAACTAATATGTTAGTTGTGAGATGATGTATTACGGAACGAGTAAAGAGACTTGCCGGTAACGAGATTGAACTAGGTATTGGATACCGACGATCGAATCTCGGGCAAGTAACATACCGATGACAAAGGGAACAACGTATGTTGTTATGCGGTCTGACCGATAAAGATCTTCGTAGAATATGTAGGAGCCAATATGGGCATCCAGGTCCCGCTATTGGTTATTGACCAGAGACGTGTCTCGGTCATGTCTACATTGTTCTCGAACCCGTAGGGTCCGCACGCTTAAGGTTACGATGACAGTTATATTATGAGTTTATGCATTTTGATGTACCGAAGGTTGTTCGGAGTCCCGGATGTGATCACGGACATGACGAGGAGTCTCGAAATGGTCGAGACGTAAAGATTGATATATTGGAAGCCTATATTTGGATATCGGAAATGTTCCGGGTGAAATCGGGATTTTACCGGAATACCGGGAGGGTTACCGGAACCCCCCGAGAGCCATATGGGCCATCATGGGCCTTAGTGGAAAGGAGAAAGGGGCAGCCCAAGGGGGCTGCGCGCCTCCCCCCTTCCCCTAGTCCTATTAGGACTAGGAGAGGTGGCCGGCCACCCCTCTCCCTCTTTCCCCCTTGGGAATCCTAGTTGGAATAGGATTGGAGGGGAGTCCTACTCCCGGTAGGAGTAGGACTCCTCCTGCGCCACCTCCTCCTGGCCGGCGCCTCCTCCCCCCCTTGGCTCCTTTATATACGGAGGCAGGGGCACCTCTAAACACACAAGTTGACACAAGTTGATCCACGTGATCTATTCCTTAGCCGTGTGCGGTGCCCCCTGCCACCATATACCTCGACAATACTGTAGCGGAGTTTAGGCGAAGCCCTGCTGCTGTAGTTCATCAAGATCGTCACCACGCCGTCGTGCTGACGAAACTCTTCCCCGACACTTTGCTGGATCGGAGTCCGGGGATCGTCATCGGGCTGAACGTGTGCTCGAACTCGGAGGTGCCGTAGTTTCGGTGCTTGATCGGTTGGATCGTGAAGACGTACGACTACTTCCTCTACGTCGTGTCATCGCTTCCGCAGTCGGTCTGCGTTGGGTACGTAGACAACACTCTCCCCTCGTTGCTATGCATCACATGATCCTGTGTGCGCGTAGGAAAATTTTTGAAATTACTACGTTACCCAACATGTTAGGCTCTACTTTATATATGCATCTTGATCTACTGTCTGTTCTAGAGATGATCGGTTCTAGCTTATATATGCAGATATTATTTACCTTCTCTTTTTCAAATCGCATGGCTTGTTTTATCACTGCTATACTAGTCATGCTTTATCTAGTATTTCTGTTAATAAAATTATTCGGTAAATTGCTCATATTTCCAACAGTTCATGCATCCCATGAATTCGTATACATGATTATCGAAACCTCAACTTCGCAAAAGAAAAAATAAACTCGTATATGGAAGCAACGAGAATGGAGGAAGTTTGTTTGGGAAACTGGCAGGAATAGTGGGCGTACGTGATTTTAGGGACCTCAAACATGGAAGGAAACGTGAATAAAGGAAATTTGTCTCGACAACTGCCAAGAGGGTGCGGGCGCTGTTTCAGGATGCATCCAACGCCCACCTGGTCTGACGGGAAGCTATGCATCAATAGTCTGATGCCCAGTGGTTCCCTTATTATTAATCACTTTCTTTGTTGAAATTGGGTCAATACTGCTACTAATCACCATCACCATGGGAAGCCGCCTTTGACTGGTTCTATGGATAGGGATTGGACTGAAGAAAGAGGAACACTGTTTTGTTTAGATGTAGTAATAATAAAGAAAAAACACGTTGATATTATATAGCTTTTCTTTTCTTTTTTTACGGGAGTTGATATTATAGCTTGTCGGTGGTAGATACTCCCTCCGTCCGGAAATACTTGTCGGAAAAATGTATAAAAATGGATGTATCTCCAGACGGAGGGAGTACTTGGTTCGCCTATATAAATGAAGCGTGTATGGCTCTAAGCAGCTAGTAAAGAACTTCTATAGGCCTATCGCCGCTCTCCAACAGAAGTACGCAGGCTCTCTCCACGAGGCGGTGCAAAAGCATGGTAAGTTACATCTACTATTTGCTGAAGCATATAAAGTTGGCTTTTCTGGGTGGAGTTTCAGTGTTTCTATCTCTTGCAGACTTGCTGCATACTGTATAACTTCAGATCACTCTCTTCATTTTCCAAATGTCCAATAAGTGGTGGGCAATGGCCAACAAGAACTTGAAGGGCACAAATGTCTAGCTTATCTTTGAGTTCGTTTATAACTTCTTTTCTAGATCGAGAAAGCACGAGTTTCTGATCAGCATGAAACACGATTTTATGCGCATTAGCCTGTGTGTTTGGTGATGATTATATATCACGCTGCTTGCTAGTTGATACAGACATGTTTTCCTGATAGATACATAAAAAAGCTTACCATACAAGTAGTATAAATAAGAGGTCAGCTCTTCGAAGAAAGTTTATGTCCTACACAATATCTGAATGGCAATTCAATTAGTAAAGTGCACACTTATAGTAATATTCAACATTCAGTGTCTCTAGTTTTGACTTGTGCTTAATCTTGCTGATGGAACAGAGAACAAGTGTTGGCTCCTGATAGTGCAGGGCAGTCTTTCAGGTACTTCACTCACCAACAATTCCATTATATTTGCCAACACTTGTTGCCTATCTAATTTTTTGCCGGCTTGTATTATTTATGCATATAATGAAGCTCTAAATTCGACAAAGAAATCCAGCCATGATGGTTATTGCAGTTGGACAGTTTCTCTTGGCACTTGTGGCTTGCAGTACCCATGTCATCGTCTGCTCCTCACATGGAAATGCGACAGATCGGTTATCACTGCTTGAATTCAAGGAGGCAATCAGTCTTGATCCCCAGCAAGCTCTGATGTCCTGGAATGACAGCATGGACTTCTGTAACTGGGAAGGTGTCTCGTGTAGGCCTAAGAATCGACATCGCGTCATTTCCCTCGACCTCAGTGGTCGAGGCTTACAAGGGCGCATCTCTCTTTCACTCGGAAATCTTACATTTCTAAGAAATCTATCCCTACCAGGCAATCTGTTCATTGGACAAATCCCTGGGTCCCTTGGTCACCTGCAGCACCTCCAGAATCTCTACTTGAGTAATAACACACTCGAGGGTGAGATACCAGACTTCGCAAATTGTTCTAGTCTGCAGATGCTATGGCTGGATCGCAATCACCTAGTTGGACAAATCCCTACACATGCCAATTTTCCTCCTCACCTTCAAAGCCTGCTGATTTCATATAACAATCTTACCGGCAAAATTCCCGTTTCACTTTTTAACATCACAACACTGACTCGACTTGATATCTCGTCAAATCGGATCAGTGGCGAGATCCCAAGTGAAATCGGAAATATGCCCATGCTGCAGTTCTTTTTCGCCTGGGGAAATAAGCTATCAGGAAGGTTCCAACCAGCCATCCTCAATGTGTCTTCTCTTGTTGTACTAAGCCTTGCCTCCAACTATCTAAGTGGCCAGCTGCCATCCAACCTTGGTAGTTCATCACCCAATCTTCAAAAGTTTGGTTTATTTAACAACTTGTTTGATGGGCCTATCCCAAATTCGCTGGTGAATGCTTCTAAGCTATCCTTGGTTGATTTGTCGAGTAATAATTTCACTGGGGTGGTGCCTAGTTCTATTGGCAAACTTAAAGAGCTCTCCTGGTTGAATCTTGAATACAATCAGTTACAAGCACGTGACAAGCAAGACTGGGAGTTTATGAATAGTCTAAGCAATTGCACTGAGCTACAGAAATTGTCGCTGCGTGGGAATCGTCTTGAAGGACGGTTATCAGATACATTTGCCAACCTTTCTGGCAAACTCGAAATGTTCTTCTTCGGAAGGAACAGACTATCAGGGGGTTTCCCTGCCGGTATAGCTAACCTTCACAGCCTGGAGTTTTTGGCATTGGATGAAAACCAGTTTACCGGTGTCATTCCGGGATGGCTAGGAACTCTAGAGAGCTTGCGGGCTATCGTATTAAGGAACAACGCTTTTACAGGATATATTCCATCTTCCCTCTCTAATTTATCTCTACTGGGGGAACTCGTTTTGGATTCTAACCAGTTGTATGGGCATATACCCCCGAGTTTGGGAGACCTCAAAACCCTTGAAGCATTGAAGCTTTCCAATAACATTCTTGATGGTAGCATTCCAAGGGAGATATTCAGCATTCCTACAATTAGAGAAATTGCGCTATCTTCAAATAGCCTAGGCGGACCACTTCCCACCGAAGTAGGCCGTGCCAAGCAACTACAGTACTTGTATCTTTCATCTAATAACCTGTCCAGTGCCATCCCTGACACACTGAGTAACTGTGACAGTATGGAATACATTGAGTTGGATCAGAATTTTCTTAGTGGAAGCATTCCAGCGTCACTAGGCAGCATCAGAAACTTGAAAGTACTCAATGTGTCTCACAACCGCTTATCAGCATCCATACCGAAGTCTATTGGCAGCCTGATGTATCTTGAACAACTAGATTTGTCATTCAACCGTCTCGAAGGCGAAGTCCCAGAAATTGGCATATTCAAGAATGTGACTGCTTTATGGGTAGATGGGAACAAGGGGCTTTGTGGTGGTGCAGCGAAGCTACACCTACTGGCCTGCCCTGTCATACCTTCAAATTCAACTAAGCACGTGACATCAACAGTGCTCAAAGTAGTGATCCCATTAGCCAGCATGGTGTCACTTGCTGTGGTCATATCTGTCTTGCTATTCAGGAGGAGAAAACGGAAGAATATTTACATGTCTCTCCCTTCTTTTGGTCGAAAGTTTCCCAGGGTTTCTTGCCACGATCTTGACAGAGCAACTGATGGCTTCTCCACATCCAACTTGATTGGCAGAGGAGGATACAGTTCTGTGTACAAAGGTAGACTGTTGCAAGATGGAACTATTGTTGCTGTTAAAGTTTTCACCCTAGAGACAAGAGGAGCACAAAAGAGCTTCATTGCGGAATGCAATGCTTTGAGAAATGTGCGGCACCGGAATCTAGTTCCTATCCTAACTGCTTGCTCGAGTATCGATTCTAAAGGGAATGATTTCAAAGCCCTAGTATATGAATTCATGCCAAAGGGTGACTTGCACGCACTACTGTACTCAGCTTTGGGTGATGAAAACACTTCAAATTCAGAGCGCATTACACTAGCTCAAAGGCTGAGCATTGTGGTGGATGTAGCAGATGCACTGGAGTACCTCCACCATGACACCCAAGGAGTTATTGTTCATTGTGATTTGAAGCCTAGCAACATTCTTTTGGATGATAATATGACAGCTCATGTTGGAGATTTTGGCCTTGCGAGGTTCAAAGCTGGTCCGACACAGTCATATTTCGGTGACTCAAACTCTGCTTCTTCGACTGTAATAAAAGGAACGATCGGATATGTCGCTCCAGGTGATGTCTGTTGTTCGTTTTCATGTTGTGCCATATATGGTACAGCATAACTTGAAAATGACTCCTTATTTGTGATGCTTATGTTAATATTTTGACTAAACTATCGTCGTACGTGTTGTTACAGAGTGGGCAACTGGTCGTGAAGTTTCAGTTGCTGGGGACGTTTATAGCTATGGGATTATTCTGTTCGAAACATTTTTGAGGAAGAGACCGACAGAAGATATGTTCAAGGATGGACTGAGCATCACAAACTTTGTTCAGATGAATTTTCCTGCTGGGATATCACAGATTGTTGACTCTGACTTGCTACAAGATCGTCCAGTAGCCACGAAGGAAAAAGATTTGGACTGTTTAGTCTCGGTGCTAAACGTTGGACTTTGCTGCACCAAGTTGTCCCCGAGTGAGCGCCCCAACATGCATGAAGTGGCTGCAAGCCTTCACGGAGTTAAGGAGGCATATCTTGGAGGGAGATAAGGTAAACACGTACTTAGTCTTTGGTGCCTTAGGTGTTGCGCATAATTTACAGAAGGTTTATCACTAAATGGATGTGCCTTTTCTTTGTAAATAAGACCACTACTCTTGCCACTGTCGTACCGTTCACTAGGCGAACTAACCTGATACATTGTTTTAAAATATAACTAACTTGATGCTCGTAGTCCTGCAGATTACCTCCAAAACCCGACCACAGGAGGTGCCTGCTGCGAACAACGAGTTGTGGCGTGGTCAGGGTGTTCTCCTACAACAAGTTGTTTTTGCTGGAGTACTGTTGTGCAATGGCGCTCTGTTTCTGATGTTGCTCAAAGCAGAGCATCCCCACCCCTCCCACCCATGGATCGTCATTCATGTTGTTTGGGTGATGCCTCTGGTTTGGGATAATTTCTTGTTGCATGTATTTTAAGGAATTAAGTAGCTGCTTTTGTTGGCGTCAGTGCAATATGATGTGGTGGTCTGGACTCTTTTGGTGTAGAAGTGGCAACTATTTCTTACAGCTAGAGCCTACATCCTATATATATTTTCTGAATCTATGTATAGATTAAATTGATCGTGCGTCTGTACATGTAAGTTGAAGTTTTTAGAAAGATCTCCTCGCTATATACACGGAATTTGGTTGGAAAACAGTGAACTATCCAAGTTTCCTGTCTGGAACCCTATGTTGATGCAAGGGGGGTTAAACGGATGGGGAAGAGGGGCAGGTTGATGCAAGGGGGGTTAAACGGATGGGGAAGAGGGGCAGCGCGGATGGGTGTGGGCATGTGGCAAACGGAAAGCACACACCCTTGGGTGAGGGGGAAGGGGAGCGGCAAAAGTTGCCTTTTGGAACAGGGCTGGGGATGGCATAGCAAACTCTATCCTAAGTCCTCGACACCTATCATTGTGATCCAGCGACTCGTAAACATGCTGCCAGTTTGGATGCCTGGAGCATGCTACAGCTGCGTTCCGGTTGAAAACATGGAAGTGAAAACAAAAGATTCTAAACATTACAATGGAAGTATCCAACATCGAGCTGACCAGGTTCAGTGCTTAAAAGCTTCACAGCACACGCAGATGCATAATTCATCTTTGAAAGCTAGAAATTTCTCATAATTGTCACTAGGCTATTTCTACGAGCAAACAGCAGAATGCATTCACCTCACGCCAATACTTTCATCTTAATCCAGCCAACTTGGCACCAGGAAACCCAGGATATTAGAGGCCTTCACACTGGAGTCATAACCTGAAACCCAGGATATTAGAGGCCTTCACATTGGAGTCATAACCTGCTGCTGGCTTCCCTCAATAATAACCAGTGATTCCCCAAGCAGCCTTTGTGCCTCCTCTCTCCTCCTGAAATTAATAGAAAGAAAATACTTAATAAGGCTGTTAAAATAGCCTAGTTACAATAGTATCAGGTGAATTAATGCCATAATTATCATCACTCATTAAAAGAACATTACAGGTTAGAAGATCCAAACAAACACACATGTACCATACCATACAGTGCCTGCTCACAAATACTGTATAAGAGTGGCAAACCAATGCTGCATACAGCATGTGCTCTTTACAAATCAATCAAACATACTCCCTCCGTCCGGAAATACTTGTCGGAGAAATGGATAAAAATGGGTGTATCTAGAACTAAAATACGTCTAGGTACACTCATTTCTCCGACAAGTATTTTTGGAAGGAGGGAGTACTTGATTTGATATCAACAACATCATCAGTTACCAAGTTTTGAACTATATTAAATAGTTCAAACTGCAGCAGCAAGTTATAGCTGGGAGCAACTTTTGGTCTCCCAAACTGCAGCAGCTAGCTATAACCTGAGCTTTCACTACCTCAGACATGCAATTAGTGTATGAGCGACACAAAAAACGAATATCATAAAAACCACAAGGGCCTTCCTGGTTAAGTATTTTGTGCTTCTAATACATGGATGGATGATAGAATAACATGATGATTGGAGACTAGCATGATTATTAACACAATACATCTCCCCTTGACTTAATTACAAGTGTACAAATATATGATGGTTGTTTCAGTGTACAGTACAGTATTTCTAGGGACCAGGTAATCTAATAAAGCTAATGATAATACATATGTATTCTGTAAAGAGGTACTGACGCAGAGCTAGATGTGCATCCTTGACTATGAATCATGTCGAATGGAAGATCAACGGTATGCTGATTTACCGGCCAAGTCAAGCTGAAGAAAGTTTAGTTACTCACTGTTTTATATCCTCAATTGCTTGCTTACGGCGCTGTATTTGGCTCTCAAGGAGGTGAATCAATGTCGCTCTTGCCTAAATAAAATCAAAATTAAAATGAGTTATGGTAGTGAATTGCGGAAATAAATTCACCACGTGAAATATAAACTGTAGCTCATACCTGGTGTGGTCGTAGGGAATTAAGAAGATGGTGCAAGTTCTTGAAAATAAGTGAAATGTCTTCAACCCTGCGGGCATACTGAGATGGCCTCTCCACTAAAATATCCGCTAGCTCCAAGATATGGAGTTGAAGCTCTCTGTTGAGTGTCCTTAGCTCCTTCTTGAAGTCTGAAGGTTAAGCAGTTTTTAGCAAACATCGGGCCCACAAGTAACAGAAACAGCTACTCTGCATTCGAGGTACTAACAATAAACAATAACTTCAGCTAATCAAAATTGCAAGTGAATTTTCGACGGCATCCCTAATCATTTAACAGATCACAAAGTAACCATTTGCGGTACATTGTACATCAGTAGATAACCAAATACACGCTGAGAAGAATGAGACACACCGATATCTGGGCCCTTGGGATAAAGCTGGCGAACACCTTGATCCTCCAGACTTGGCAGCACCACATCTGTCTGGAGATCAGATAGGCAAAGCCACAGTCAGTTCGACACAAGCAATGGCACACAACGGAGACGAACGAGATAAGCAGCATACTGTGTAGGTGGCGCCGAAGAGCTGGTACGACCCCTCGATCGGCGGTGGAGGCTCCGGCGCAGACGAGGGGTCCTGCTCGAAGTCCTTGTACAGCCGGTAGAACGGAGGAGGCGGAGGGTACGCCGACGACGTCGCCATTGCCATCTCGCCTTACTCTTCTGCGCCCAATAAATCGAGACGGAAACCGAGAGGAACTAGGGTTACATTTGAATCGGAGAAATTGAGTGAGATGGCAGGGCTGGGAACGGGGGGAAGAGGCGCAGTAGGCGAGAACTTGCAAGCCATACAGACTCGTACCACGAGGGACGACCACGGGGACGCACGGCCGCCGGCGAGGCCGGTCGGCGGGCGGAGGCGAGCGGGCGGAGACGGAAGACGAGACGAGGCCGATGCGGGAGGCGACTGACCTTGGTTGGGACGGTGGTGTTGGGCCAGGATCCACAAGGTTCAATCTGAACCGTCCACGAGCGATCGGGCGGCGCAGGAGAGGCCGGTGAGGTCTTCAGCCTCACCCCCTCGACAGAACCTACTAATTTTAAAAGAGCCCCTCGCCTCCCGCCTCCGCCAGAAAGGAAGAAAAAGAGGGGAAGCAAAGCACAAACGCGGCCGTCGCAGCAGCAGCAGAGAGGAGCAGCAGACACCCAACCGCAGCCGTACGCCGCAGATCCGCCGCCGCGCACGCTAGGGTTTCGCGCCGAGGAGAGAGGGGGGGCGATGGACGTGGTGAAGGCGGCGCAGCTCTCGGGGCGGACGCTGGAGAAGGTGGTGGTCCACCCGCTGGTGCTGCTCAGCATCGTCGACCACTACAACCGCGTCGCCCGCGACACCAGGAAGCGCGTCGTCGGCGTGCTCCTCGGCACCTCCTCCCGCGGCGTCGTCGACGTCACCAACTCCTACGCCGGTAAGCGAACGAGCGAACCCCCGCCCGTCCGTCTCTGCCCTTCTAGGGTTTGCGCCGTCCGGGTCCGCCCCGCCTGTTTCCGGGGGATCTGCGCCTCTGGCGGGGCCTAGGGTTCGCGGAACCCGCCCTGGCCGTAGCTGCTGTTAGATCCGCTGGCGTGAAACCCTTGCGTGATTAGATCTGTAGAGCTGTTTTACGGTGGCGGTTTGCTGAATTTGTGAATTGCGGCGGCGTGTGATCTTGCAGTGCCGTTTGAGGAGGATGACAAGGACCCGAGGATCTGGTTCCTCGACCATAATTACCACGAGTCTATGTTCTCCATGTTCAAGAGGATCAACGGTATGCTGTTTTAGAATTTTTAGATTAGATATGCTTGGACTTGCCATGTGTAGTTTTTTCTGTTGAATACTGATGAGCTGTTTCTGATGCAGCCAAGGAGCATGTTGTTGGCTGGTACAGCACTGGTCCAAAACTAAAGGAGAACGACTTGGATGTTCATGCATTGTTTACCAAGTATGATTCTGCTCTACAACCATTTATCCTTGCAGTAATTCAGAAGCTCTTCTCAGTTTGTACACAATTATTTGGTACAATTACTTGCAACTTATACATAAGGACCAATGTTGGAATGCAAGCGTGAACTCTTCAAGGAGGCTAGCTGTCTCTATGAAGTATTTACCATTCAGTCATAATCTAGTTTGGGTTCAGTTGCTGTTTGATTTTGTGCTTCTAGTTCCACATGTGGCTGGAGAAATATCGCCTGTGCACAAAACTTTGTTGTACTCCTCTGTAAAAAAGTATAAGAGCGTTTAGAGAAATATAAGAGCATTTAGCACAAAACTTTGTCGTACTTCTCTAAATGCTCTTATATTTATCTAAACTTCTTTACAGAGGGAGTACAAATAGTCGCAAAGCTCCCAAAATGCATAGCTAGTTTTTATTTTTCCTTCAGTTCTGCTACTGTCCAGAGCAATGGAAAAGTTCTGATGGCCTTATGTAGAGTGTGTTCTTTAGATGTCCTGATATATGGTGTTAGTTATGAAAGGATTGGCAATCTTAGGCATTACAGTAAACAGTCAGCCTGATGATATTTACGTTGGATTGGTCTGCTACTGTAATTCCTCTCCCTCCATCAGTAAAACAATCTAATGTTTAATGAACTTGTTTGCTTGAACCGACTCATGACTTTAGTGACATGGTTGCACCTTTATATGATTCCGGAAGATAAAAGAACAGTGTTAAAATTACCGTACATACATACTTTGCGTTCTTTGGGGGGTGTTGATGGTGGTGACTGGGTTTAGTGATGGAAGTATCGCTTTTTCTATGGGTGATTATTGAATTCCCTTGTTAGGCGCTTACTCTTATGCAGTTAATTTTAATTCTTTTTCTTCACATTGTGCAGCTATGTTCCTAATCCTGTCCTGGTGATTATTGATGTTCAACCCAAGGAGTTGGGAATACCCACCAAAGCATATTATGCTGTAGAAGAGGTTAAAGAGGTGGGTGTATGGTCTAAGATGTTAGAGATTTGATATTTGCTTATTCGGCTTCACTAATGTGATATGGTTTTCCTTCACAGAATGCTACTCAGAAAAGTCAGAAGGTGTTCGTCCACGTGCCATCAGAAATTGCGGCCCATGAAGTCGAGGAAATTGGTAAGAACTAGTCTGTTTGAAATTGCATGAGGAACGGGCATCATGTTTGGCACTTTCAAGTTATACATTCAATAGTTCAGTCACACTTTCTGATAGGCTAGGTCACTTTCTGCAAGAAATCAATGTTCAGTATATCTGTAACTGGTACCATATCGGTCGGGTGCTGAGTAGGGATAAATAGGCGAATTTTCCAGTTAATCGGCTATTTGGTGACCCACTGAGTAGCGATTAACTGACCGAGATGCCGATTAACTGGCTGATGTTTGGAACAATCCAAGAAATATAATTTTGTTTGAGAGGTTTTGGGTTCACTTCATAATTTTAGCTGATGTATGCTTTATGCTCTCTTCAGGAGTTGAGCACCTTCTGAGGGATGTGAAAGACACAACAATAAGCACACTTGCCACAGAGGTAATGTTTCATAAGAATTAAGATGGGTGGATACAGTTTGCAGCTTGTGCCCCTAATTTTCATTTGCCAATGTAGGTCAGCAGCAAGCTTGCAGCCCTGAAGGGACTCGATGCGAGGCTTACGGAGATCCGGGGTTATCTAGATCTTGTAATTGAAGGGAAGCTCCCACTGAACCATGAGATTCTGTACCACTTGCAGGTTTGGCTCTCGCTATTTGTTATATGTTATGTTAGCCACTTCTTTTGGGGAGTTGCATTCGATCTTTTCTTCTGTTTGTGTCTCAGTAATTTCTATTATACTTGATCCTCACCAGGAAGGTTCTGTTGCCCCCATGAACCTTAAATGTTTTAAATGTACACCTCTATTCTTAAAGGTTGTCTGGGATGAACTAGTTAATTGCTGTAGTCTCCGGAAGAAAATTGTGATGCTTTACTACTCTCAGGAAGAAAAATGTGATGCTCGAGTACTCTCCGGAAGAAAAATTGTGATGCTTTTTAGCGATTGATGTTTTCCCTTAGGAATATGTGAAAGTTGTGCAACCAGTGAGTGGTTGAAAGATACGTACTCCTAGGCCCTTCTGGGCACCTTGTACAGGTGCTACTGCTATGGCTGCCAAGTAGGGATTTTTTTTTTATGTGGCAAGATAATTAAGAAGAGAGAAGAGTTTGGTTACCCCAGGAAGAAACGATGCTAGATGCACATACCTAGGTGAAAACTCAATTTTCCACAAAAAAGACAAACTCGTCCACAACTAATTAAATGAAGCTTAGTAACAAGAAGCTAAGCACCCATGCAATGAGAGAGGCCTTAGTGCGTGTTTTATCACCAGCAGTTTCCGCCATAAGTTGAGGCAGATAGGATGCGAAGGGTGCTTTAGAGCCATCAATACATCACTTTGGTTTTGGGATATACTATATTTTGGGTGGTTAAATCATGCTTTATATATGTCTGTTTTTCTGTCCTCAGAACAGTAATTTGTTTGATCATATTGTAGCTTCACCACTTATTAGGTCCACAGTAGGATAAGAAAAACATGATAATTGATGATATATGCATGCCTTAACACACGAGATAATGCTTGATATTTTTAGCGATTATGAGTTGAGAACAATTCAAAATTCGTCCCAAGTTCTGTTACTGAAGCAGTTCTACATTTTCACTCATGGAAGTGTAATATACTTGTTCTGTTTTTTTTTGCAGGATGTGTTTAATCTGCTCCCCAATCTCAACGTAAATGAGCTCATTAAAGCCTTTGCAGGTAATCAAGCATGTCGCCATCAGTTTACCATAACCGGCTTGTTTTCCCCTTTCATTTTCTGGGTTTGCTTATTGCAGCAACTTTATTATCTATCTTTTCATGCAGTGAAAACAAATGATATGATGCTGGTCATATACCTGTCTTCTCTTATCCGGAGTGTCATTGCTCTCCACAATTTGATCAACAACAAGGTAAGTTGTTTCTGTCCGCTAGTTTAAGCTGTTACCAATTCTTCCATCCTTAGCTATATTGGTGTCTTCATGTTGATCTTATGAAGTTATACCCTTCTTTCTGCAAATTTTGCGACAAGTGTGTAATCTTTTATGTGATTCCTTGCAGATGCTAAACAAGGAACATGAGAAGGCCGAGGATTTGAAGCCAGCCGCCGTACCTACTGCAGCAGGGAGCTGAATGTCCTTGTTTGCCTCAAGATGGGGATAGCGATCTATGACCCAGCATTGGGGCAAAGAAACTGTGACATGTTAGCATTGTCTCATTTGTACCAAGTGTCTTGACCTTCAATTTACACTTTGATGTTTACTTCATGTACGATGAGGTCAACGACAAAACCTTACATTCTGTGAGCTCTAGGTCTTTTTGAGGTTTATAATCTAGATCTTATACTGTTTCATCTGCCGCGTCATGGTTTGTGATGCGGATTATCTTAGTAAATGTATGCTTCATTAGAAACATCACTGCCAGTTTACAATGTTGTCTACTTTGGTAGAGTCGTCAGGCTCAGAGGTTACACACTTTGGATAGATGGAACATTGAGTCGATTTCCTTGGTAAAATTTTGACATAGCTTGGTACTGATAAGGCAATCAAACAACAAACGAAAGAACGTACTTGTACAGTTGAAATTTGATTGATTGCTTTAGCACAGAAAAGGCAACCAACAACAGCAAGATACAGGAAATCACCTGATAGATGGCTGTGAGGTACTCCCTTTGTCCACAAATATAAGATGTGGAGATTTAGACGGACTGAAATAAATGAACAAAACACAGTAAAACATGTCTATATACATCTGATTCAGGAAAGAAGTTACTAGAAGAACAGCTTATATTTGTCAACGGAGGAAGTAGTTCATATTCAAACTTCTGAAGCCTTGCTATCTCCAGATTAGTTCCAGGCTTGAATTTGTTATCTACTCCACTGTCGAAACCGAATTGGAATTGGAATTGGAATTTGCTGCTGAAATAAAAAATATATACGGATAAAAAAAAGCTTCAACTGAAGTTTTAAAGATGGGAACGCGCACAGTAGCACTCAACTCAGCCTCCTCCGCCGTGTCCTTGTGTTCCTCTCTCGCCGTGCCAACCCCCCAACCCTCGTGATCGATTCCGATTCCGTGCCCGCGCGTCGAGCGATCGGCCCAGAGAGCTCGTCGACAAATCTCGCTCGTGTCCATCAGATCGCCATCGCCGGCCCACCTGCCCACCTGCCCACCAGTCGATGATGGCCTTCCCCTCTTTAACATGGCCGTTCCGCCGCCGAGCCGCCGCCGGCGCCAGCGGCGGAGCCGGCCCAAGCAAACCCTCCGCCGCTGAGGGGAAGGAGGAGGACGCGGAGGAGCTCGGCGTCACGCCGCAGCTCCTCGACTTCCTCCGGACGCTCTCCCCCGACGCCTTCAAGTCCTCCGCCCTCCAGCTCCACCAAGGCACCCCCTCCCTCCTCCCCTCTCGATTCCGCTCCCCTGCTAGTTCAGTCTCGATTACTGACGGTGATGCGCCATGTTGTCTCGCAGGGGCCTCGGCGGAGGCGGCGGGAGAGCTCTCGGACTGGCAGCAGCGGCACGCCGTCCTCGTGCTCGCCAGAGCCAAGGTAGGCCCCCCGCGGATCTCGTCCTCCGCTTCGCCCAAGAGAGAGATGGCTCTCAGGTCTCAAACTGTAATAATGTTTGATCCCTGCAGGAACTCGCTAAGGTCCGCTATGATTTGTGCCCACGCCACATGAAGGACAAGCAGTTCTGGACAATCTACTTCCTGCTCGCCAGGACCTACATCTTGCCGTAAGCTCTTGCCTCATTAGCTTTCGCCCATGTGCAAGTGCATTGTTTCAGTCCAAGTGCTCAATTAGCTTCATGGTGGTGTTGATTTTGTGAGTCTTCAGTTAGGAATTCTAGTCCATGCTGTTCCTTAATACCCAGCAAACTATGAGCATAATTGGTTTGCTGCCAAAAATTGGCATGCCAACATTTGGTATTGTGCCAAATATTGGCAACCACTTGGTTGGCTACGAGTTGTTTTGCCTATCTCACATAAAGTTGCCAATAGTTGGCAAGTCTTGGTATTGCCAATATTTGGCAATGCCAACATTTGGCAAGCCAAATATTCGTATCTAAACATGATGGTCCCAGTTGCATGTGTACCGTTGTGATGTCTTGTAGTATATATTATAAACATCCAGCAAAAGGGATTGGCATCTGAAGATGAGAAATTATGTCAAATATGAGTACCCGTTTTTGTAAAAGTTAAGCAAAAAGGGGACACCATCATGTAAATTGTGGTCTCTGTTTGCTGAACTATCCATGAGGCGTAATGCTTCCAATAGAGATAGATATAGTACTAGTGCTGTTGACTATATAAAGTTTCTGGTATCACACCAGTATCTTAATAATACCTCTGTTCAGGCTTATAAGGCCCGCACATAATTTAAGGAAAACTCTAACCGTTAATTTGATGTCGCAAAAGTATACCATTGGAAACTTCTTTTAAATGTAAATCCAGTGATATATGTTGTGGCATATAAATAATATTTTGTTGATCAGAATAATGTTTAAAGTTTTTCTTTATACACGCCAACCTTATAAACCTGGAATGTGGCAGCCATGGAGGTGATTGTTCCTTGCTGTACTCCACTAACTTCTACTTCCTGAAAGATTTCATTGAGTAGATATGTTCAATGTATAAATAACCTGGCTGAAAGAAGAATTCACCATCCTTGGTTAGTTTTGGAGATGTATTTGTTATGTGATTCAAGATTAGACTCTGAACTACTGCAGCTACCTTGTAGTGTTCTCGTGGGACGCAGCCAAAATATAAGGTGGGACTTGCATAATTCAGACTAACATTATTGACTATCATGTACTACTATGGTAGACCAACATTTATACGGTGGTTCTTCTGCAACCGTGTGCAGAATTTACTACCACCTAGTACTCTTCTCAGTAGCCACCGAGGCTTGAGAACCGAGATGGAGTGATCTGCTGTGGTCATATAGGCTTTAGCTCCAGCTGCTATATAATACTCTAATTCTGTCCTACCAATCTGCCATGGGTTATTGACAGACATTTTAAAAACATGTTCTCTTCTTACAGGTACGAGTTACGTGCCATACAAAAAGAGAAGGTAAGAAGGATGGAGACAGAGAACGGAAAGTCAAAAGAAGTGATTGCTGTTGAGGTGGAGATGCAGGAATCGAAATGCAGTAGAGAATCTCAAACGTTACCAGATGATTCAGAACCTCAGGATTCATAGTTGATGTTGCTGACGGCATATTAGGTAAGGGCTGGAAGCAGCTGTATCAAAATTGATATCTGGCTTAATTCAGAACTCATTTTTCCAGTTGAATGACCCAGGCTTCAAAATTATTTCGCAGAAGTTTCAGATGCATGCGATGGGTGTTCATTGTGACTTCTGGCTGGATGTAGCAATCTCCGCAGCGTGCCATTGGGGTGCCTGTATGTGTAGTAATCAAATTTTGGAGTCTAGGAATTTTGAGGCAGCACGCTGCATCTGCTGATAGCAACATAGCAGCTGTTTGTTGGCTGTGCACTGACATGTAAGCTGATGTGAACTTGGCCGTGATCTTGAATTGAAGTCCATGTACTATATCTTTTATGTATTCTTGTGCGGGCTTTTCCCCCATATTGTTTGAGGCATTCACAGCTTTCTGTTTTCGCTGCCCGGCTATTCTGGAACTTTACTGGAAATTCTGCTGCACTGAAACATTTGTTATGCACGTCTAGTTGATTTTACAGGGATTTCTAGTCTCATTTAAGGCAGATTTTCTGCTTAATTTAGTTAGGCATAAGGCATACGAATGACATCTCAAATTAATTCCACAAGTTGCATGTGTTTCATGACATCTCAAACTGAAATCAAGATCCCAAGACTGAAAAACAACTGGACAAATTGATGCGTTTTCGAAAATTAATTGCAACCGAGGTGGTTTTTTTAAAGAATATAGTGTTGTATCAGACAATCGTAGAGTGCAGCGTTTCGATGCCTAGGCTCATCCGCACCTGGTCAGAAAAAAATCACAAAACAATTCAAAAAATTCCGAAAACAATTTGCATGATAGAAAATTTATTGCGTGAGATCCGCTCCAATTTTCAGGTCATTTGGACATGTGAGTTGCTCTCAGCAAAAAAAGGCAAATCGGGTTAAAACAGTGCATGAACAGTAAACTTTTTTACAGACCCCGAATTCGTCTCTTTTGCCGAGAGCTGCTCGGATATCCAAATAATTTAAAAATTGAAGCGGACTTCAAGCATCAAATTATCTACGATGCATTTTTTTGAATTTTTTGAATTTTTCTAGCATTTGAATTTTTTTTTCAGCGCGGGTGCAGATGAGCCTAGCGTGGGCTCAGAAGTGGATTATCGACAATCATATACTTCCTCTGTTCCTAAATGTAAGTCTTTGTAGAGATTCCACTATGAACCACATACAGATGTATATAGATGCATTTTAAGTTTAGATTCATTCATTTTGCTCCGTATGTAGTCCACATAATGAAATCCCTACAAAGACTTATACTATTTAGGAACGGAGGGAGTAGTCTTTTCGCAAAAAGAAAAATAGACAATCATAGTCATTCCGTGGAAAAGAGAGTAGTAGTATTATTTTTCGATTTTGCCTTTTGGCCTTTTCCACTGGAATGTGGGCCCCGCTCTCTATCCATCTCTCCTCTCCCACTTCCAGCGTTCCCCTCGCCCAGGTGTCACTGTTTCGAAACAGAGACAGGCAGAGAGGGAGCGGAGAAGACAGAGGGAGGGGAATCACGGGGGAAAAGCGGCGGTTCCGACGCAGAGTCACCGGCGTCGATATCCCCAGCCACGGCGACGCGTCGCCCGCTTCTTCGGGCCCTGCGAAGCGGGTGAGTCACCCAACCGACTGAAGAACAGCGGTCAGCGACCATGTTTTCTTCCTGCTCGCGCCCAATCCGCATGCATGCCGTGAAATTTCTAGGGTTCTAGTAGCAGCCAATTTGCCCCATACCCCATCTATGAGGGACGGGGGTGCTGGTAGAGGTGTGCTAGCTTTCGAATCGACCAAGATAGGAGCAGCAAATGACCCGACGACTTTTTCAGCTAGCTTGCAAGCTGATCTCTGATGTGCTCTGCTCGGCTGTGACGTTCCGTTCGGGTTTCAGCTCTCTGGTTTTCAGAGCTCAACAGTGAACACCCTCTTGTAACTTGTTCCATTACTAGAGGGACTTAGATTCAGATACTAGTAGCTAACACCCCTGCACCTCTTCCTGCTAGAAAAATCAGAGGAAGCAGAAAAGCACCCCCGCTCTTTGAATATCCTACATCATTCCTGCGGATTCCCATGGCTCGTGTTTAAACATTTTCTGTGACTTGTTAGAAATCTGAAACTCTTGTTTCAACAAATTTGTACGGTTTGTCCCAGCTAGTTCCCACAGATATATTTCTGCACTCCTTACGTTATGTGCAGCTAGTTTGTAAAGGACAAAACCATATTCTCGTTTTTTTCGTTACGCACTTCTGTTTGTATCTATCTGAATTGCAAATGCCATTTCACCCAAACGAGGAAGTTTTGTATTTATCTCGTTCTTGCATGGTCTGAAATTACAATTTTCAGAGGTTTCAGATGGGAGGAAGCGGGGAGGGCACATGTGGTTTACTCGTCGAGTTGGGGTAGGGGTTTTGCGTGGGTACTGCTGATAAAGAACAGAGGAAGGGGATTCTTTTCACACTTTTACGTCCTTCCTTTTTCCATCCCATTTATCTCAAAATCTAAAGAGGGGTTAAGCCCAACTAGTGTGGGGGTTCTTTCAACAACAACAACAAAGCCTTTAGTCCCACACAAGTTGGGGTAGGCTCGAGGTGAAACCCATAAGATCTCGCAACCAACTCATGGTTCTGGCACATGGATAGCAAGCTTCCACGCACCCCTGTCCATGGCTAGTTCTCTGTCGATACTCCAGTCCTTCAGATCCCTCTTTACGGACTCCTCCCATGTCAAGTTCGGTCTACCCCGACCTCTCTTGACATTATCGGCACGCTTTAGCCGTCGACTAGGCACTGGCCTTTTCTGTCCAGAGAAAATAGAAAAATAGAAAAATAAAAAAAAGTTATAGAAATAAGCCCAGAGTTATCATGTCATATTATATCTTTTTCGTTTTCTTTTTTCTGTCATATCATATCCTTTTCATTTTCTGGTTGTGTTATATTTGGTTGTAATCTTTTTTTTCACATAATAAAAATGAAAAAATATGCAAAAAGTGAGTCACAGCCTCACAGGGACAAGCCAAGCCCAAAACAGTAAAGCCCACAACCACACCTCAAAAGACAACTCATAAAGACAAAGAGAGCCCACAACCAAAGCCCGGAAAGGAAAAACACAACCTGCGACAAGGGGTGACCGAAACAGGCAAAAATCAATGTACATGACGTCAGCCGACTGAGCCTTAGCTAGACCCATCTACTATCTGTCTTTCAAACATATATTTTGTATCTAAATCCCACCGTAAATGCAAAGCTGAAAGCCCCATCCTCTGCCGTTCTACGAGCTAGTTGCTCTAAGCTCTGATCTCTCCATTTGATTCAAGGTGATTGATATCAGCTCAACTAGACAATTCTAGCCTTGTAGTGTATCATCGTAGATTATTACTTTTTTAACTAAACTATTCGGTTTTATTTCGAGTGACCACTGCGACATTCATGGTCGGATTTTGTGTGTGTAGCATTGTCTTCTTGTTTGCAAGCTCATTTTTTCCTTTTTTTTGCTTGTCTCTAGATTATCCTCTCCTTTTTTCTGTGGTGGCTGGCGACTATGAACCAATCTTTGAGCATGGGGTCGTTGATGTACAAGGTAGTAATAAAGACGACTAATTTTGTTCGACTGCATGTTTTCAGCAGCAGCTCAAGCGATGACAGGGGTTCTGAATGCCTTGGCATCTTACGTTACCAAGATGCTCGCCGACATGGCTAGAGAAGAGGTGGCCATGCTGATCGGGGTCTCCAGCGCGATCGACGATCTAACCATCAAGCTTGGGGACCTCCAGAATTTCCTTGCTGATGCCGATAGGAGAAACATCACCGACGGGAGTGTTCGGGGGTGGGTGGAGCAATTGAAGCATGCCATGTATCACGCTACCGACATCATCGATCTGTGTCAGCTCAAGGCCATGGAGCAAGGTCCATCCAAGGACATGGGGTGTCTTAACCCCATGTTCTTGTGCATTCAGAATCCCCTCCATGTACACGACATCGGCAGCCGCATTAAGGCACTGAACAAGAAGTTGGATAACATCTGCAAGAGGGGTCGTAGTTTCAATTTCATCAAGCTTGAAGTCTACCAGGACCAGAAGACAAATCGATCTCATGGTATTGACCGCAAGACGAATCCATTGTTGGAGCGGTCGGGCGTGGTTGGGGAGAAGATCGAAGATGACACGAGATCGCTTGTTCAGCTGCTCACGAAGGAAGTCATTGACACGAGTGATAGCATCATGGTGTTCGCCATCGTTGGTGTTGGCGGGATTGGTAAGACCACCCTTAGCAAGAAGATCTTTAACGACGAAGCAATACAAGGCAAGTTCACCAAGAAAATATGGTTAAGTATCACACAAGAATTCAGCGAGGTTGACTTATTGAGGACAGCCATCACTACCGCCGAAGGAAATTTGCCAGGACCTGGGGGTGGGTCTCAAGACAAAACTTTGCTCGTGCCGGCTCTTGCAAGTGCTATCAAAGATAAGAAGCTATTTCTTGTGTTGGATGACATGTGGGGCACCTATGAATGGACGAACTTGCTTAAGGCTCCCATTAGCCACAGTGCCCCGGGTAGCCGAGTCCTCGTCACCACAAGACATGAAACTGTTGCCCGAGGCATGAAAGCAGTAAATCCATACCACCGCATCAACAAATTAGGGCCCAAAGATGGCTGGTCATTGCTCACGAAGCAGGTGAGCACATAACTACTGGTAGCCTCCGTTCTATCTCAAGTAATACGTTCATTTATTGACACGTGGGGATGCAAATTTGGTACCTTTAGGGTACCCTCCGGCCCTCCTTAGTCTACCAAATGAACAAATGATATGAATTCTGAAAATTTAGTTCATTTAGTTGAACCAAGGAGGGTCGGAGGGTACCCTTTAGGTTCCAATTTGCATCCCTATTAACATGGGAAGTGGCAATATTTTTTGTTGTACTCTTGGTGCTTACTGCCTTAAGTACGTGCTTCATCTTTTTGGTGCGTCACTGTATATGACAACTGTTGTTTGA